CAACGGAGTCGACGACAAGCTCTCTGCATCACTTTTGCATTGCAGCACCACTTCCTAGTTCTAAGCCCCGATCGCCGGTGAACTAGCAGACCCAAACTCCATCGACTCGAGCTTCTACTGCGTACTAAAGCTCTCCAGCAACTTCGATCGGATCGTCCAAGGGAAGCAGACTCGGCACGAGCACCGAGCGAGGCGTCCTATCACCACCGATTAACCCACGTTAAACAAGGAGGGCCTTCCCTCCGCTTCTGTTGTAAACATTTGATTTATTAGTTTGTAATAAGCCTTTTTATCAATACAAACGAAGTTCCCTATTTTCGGGAGATCAAAATTTACACATACAATGAAATACTAGAGAATATAAAAATACACTAATCAAAAGGAAATGAAGGTGATACAAAACAAATTGAAAGGAAATGACTAAGCTTCTGCTTCTTCTTCTGCTACGTCTGCAAGGCACTCATGCTGAGAATCCCCTGGCTCCTGATGATCTCCCAACTGAACCTGTTCTTCCTCTAAGTCTGACGTACACCAGAGAAAATAGGTGTACGTCAGCGTGTATGGCACACGGCAAGACCCGACCCCACAAAGAAAATAGAACAAATGGAAATCCAATGCGAAAAACGATACAATAACAGAAACAACAAAAGAACGTACAACTGAAATCCACAAATCAACATGAAAATACTACTAAATCATGATAACATAAAGCATCCAAAATCGATCAGGTAACGAGATCATGTAGCTAGCGATCAGAAATCATCCAAGTAACAGGATCATACACTAGAGGGAATTAATACTTAAAAATCTACAACAATAGACGTAGTACGTCGAGCGAAATAATCCAAACAAGGAAACCCTCATGTATATACCATATGTCTCGAATTGTAAATAATTAAATATTAATCCCGATCTATGTACGAAAAGAACAACACTGGTCTACATCTCAACAAAACTAACAAAGTCCACTATAAGGCACGCAAGCATATTATTCTTGTTTTACATGTTATTTGAATTAGGAAATAATATTTTGATGTATATAATCGGGTCCCCGTAAAGTCATCCGGGGGCCTCCTTCAAGTCAAGTATTGGCCCTCTGGCCCAGGTATATAACACTCACGATATCACGGTAATAAAAAAGCGCTGTGCCCGTTTATATACATGCTATATTCTCCGTCCAATTCCCCTTTATAACCCCATGTTTGTCAGTTTAATTAAGCAACTGTACATGAAATATCGTGCACTAGCCACGGAGTTACCGTGGAACGACTTCTGTAAAACTATAAACATAACCGTGACCCACAATATGTCCGATCAAGAGTGCATCGTCTAGTTAATGCTATAATAGTAATAATCAAGGAAACCTCATACCGGGATATCGATATCGAGAGAACTCGGGACTCCTTACATCGGGATATCGATGTCGAGTGAGTATAGCCATACTTTGAAGCACGCTTATAAATCATACTTTTAACAGAAATCGTCTTCATGTACAGTATCGCCTATTGGATAACAACTAAGTGATAACACAACAAGCTTCCACACAACTATTCATGTCAAGCAATCCCACGCAGGAAATAATATATCACAGACTAATCTAATTAATTAACTCATACCAGATCTAAAAATTGAATGACGAGTCACATAATAATTTATGATAAAACTAAGAATTAAAATGAAATAATCAAGGTTCGGGATCTTGCCTGCGAGGTTAATGGGGCCTGTCGACGATATGGCAGCGGCGCTACGAAGATGGATTTGGACTGAAGGGGGTTGCGACATCAGCGGGAGGAGGTAACGACGACGGATATGACGGTTGACTTGTGAAGCTGGACAGCGACATCGGCGACGGATTCGAACGTCGCTGGGATTTCAGGCGGCTCGGCTACGGGCGCATGTCGTCCAAATTGGAAGGGCGTCACCGGAAGCGTCGGAGCGGGGAACGAAGAGGCGTCGCGGGTAGCGGCGTGGTCGCGAGCTTTAGATCTGGCGGTTGACGGATGTTAGGCAGATCGACAGGCTGTCGGGGGTGGCTGTTAGAGCAGTCGAGGTCGCTGGGCTGCGGCAGAAAGCTTGGGCGGGCTCGTCGGAGTTTGGGGGAGCGACGAATGCGGAGCAGGGAGATGGCACTGAGAGGTCTGCTAGACGCAGCTCGGCCGTGTCAACCGGAGCAGGCGAGTGAGGGGGAGAGGTGACGAAGGCCAAGGGATGCCGTGCAGTGAGGGGCATGGAGGACGATTTTATAGCTGTGGGGTAGGCAGCGTGCAGAGGCTCTCCGCCGCACGACGAACAAAGGGGGGTGGAAGAGGTGCTGGGCCGCGTGGGCGAGTTCAGCAGCGGGGAGCGGCTTCCAGGGGTAAGCGCGGCCGGAGATAGGCAGCGGTCAGTAGCGCGGGTGGTGGCCGTGCTTGGAGCGAGCGAGCTGATTGGATCTTGAAGCTGGCTTTGGGCGGCCGTGCAGAGGCGGAGGACAGGGTGCGGGCAAGGAGACGAGCCGACGGCATCTCAGGCCGGGTGGCTTTGGCTCGGTTTGGATGGCGCTGTGCGGGAGAGGCCGACGCAAGTAGCTGGCGGTGGTCGGAGGTGGTGACCGTGGGGTTGAAGGAGTGGCTGCCGGCATGGGGTTCGACGGCGGCATTGGGCGTCGGCTAAGAGGCAGCTGAGAACGGACCACGCGGAAGGCTGCGGCGCTCGGCCGGGGCTTTAGGTGGCGAGGCATGGCCGGCAGGGAGAGGGCAGACGCGGAGTTGATGCGGCGGTTCCGCGGCGGGTGGCTTTTGAGCGAGAGGAGTGAAACTGAGGCGAGAGAGAGGCGGCCGGGCAAGCCATGAAACGCCGTAGAGAGAGAAAAACATTTAAATAAAATAAAATATACTCTATATATATATATATATATTATATATATATAATATATATATATATATATATATATATAATAATATATATAATATATATATATATATAATATATATATATATATTATATATATATATATATATATATATATATATTATATATATACATAGAATTTTAGGGTTAGGGTTTAGGGTTAAATAATTAAAATAAAATAGTTATGGGTATTTAAAAATTAATCTAATTACAGAATAATTATCTATAATTAAAAACGTACATGTTGTGCTATTACAACAATTGATACGAAATAGTCGAAATATACTCATATTGTATAATTAAATAGGAATAATTAATAATAAAAATATTTTTACTTAAATTTAAAATTAAATAATTATGGGACAATTACGTACATAGTAAAACGTACTAGTTATACTAATACGATAGTTGATACGTAATTGTAGAAATAATACAATAAACTATACAAATAATACGTAATTAATAATATAATGTATTACATGAAAAAATATATAATAATAATAATAATACAACATATTATTTAAAAACAATACGTAATAGTATCAATAATACAACAGATTAATTCTAGAAATTTTCACCGCATAAAATTAATTTATAAATATTAATATCATTTAAATAAATATAAAACTTGGACTTTAAATCATAGAAAATCTAGAAAATCAAGAAAAATACAAATACTCTTTTAAAATAATAATAATTAACTATTTTAAAATACCAAAAAATTATTTTAACTAGTATCAAGATTCACGGTCATTACAACTCTCGTGTTACTTGGATTTATCTTCTCAAGTCTAGGTCTGAAGTCTTTTCTACATTTAAACTCTTTTGTTCTAAAATAGTCAATCAATTCAAGACTTCGATAAAAAAACTCGATCTAATTATGCAAAGGAATATATGGATGACAACTTCACTAGTTAATTTCCTTGAACAACATGGAATTCTCGATCAGTCTTTTTGTGTTTATATTCCTCAACAAAATGGAGTTGCTGAACAAAAGAATAGACATCTCATTGATATTATTCGAATCTTGCTATTTTATTGTCACGTTCCCAAAGAGTTTTGGGGGAAAGCTATCCTAACAGCATGTTACTTGATTAATCGAATGCCATTTTCTGTTCTGCAAAATAAAATTCCTTTTAAAGTTTTATATCTCAACGATGATCTCTTTTCGCTTCCTCTAAAGATTTTTGGGCTCTCTGTGCTTTGTTCATAATCACAATCCAAACAAACAAAAGTTTAACTCTCGGTCTATTAAAGACATTTTTCTTAGCTACTCGCGAAAACATAAAGGTTAACAGTGTTTCTGTCCATCACTCAATCGTCTTGTATTATCTGCTGATGTAACATTTTTTGAAGACAAACTGGTTATTCTAGTTCTCCAACTCTATTATCATCGGATGAGTATGACTATTTAATCCTATAAGATTCATTGGTTAACGGTGGTGGTTCATCCTCTGATAATACAATTTGCGCTACTGACAAAGATTCCGCTCGGTTTAACGACCCAATTTAAGTTTACCATCGTCGCTCTAATCCTGCTCCTAAGCTAACGTAGTCTTAACACCAAGTCCTCCGCCAGAAGAACCAGAATCAGTAAGTGCAAATTTATCCTATTCTGCGGAAGACCTTCCTATTGTACTTCTAAAAGGGACACGAACTTGTACTTAACATCATTTGTCTCTTATGATCACCTCTCCTCCACCTTTCGATCTTTTGTTACTTCCATCGACTCATATTTGGTTCCTAAAAATGTGTCAGAAGCCCTGTCTATTCCAGGTTAGAACCAAGCGATGCAAGACGAAATAAGGGCTTTGCGAAAGAATGAGACTTGGGATTAGGTCTCACTTCCCAGGAAAGCAGCCCATCGGCTGCAAGTGGGTGTACACTATCAAATTGAATCCTGATAAAACTTGGCATGTCTGAAAGCCCGACTGGTTGCTAAAGGCTATTCGCAGGTATATAGCTTAGATTACTTAGATACCTTCTCTCTAGTGGCAAAAATAACATTTGTTCCGATTTTTATCTCATTAGCAGCAATAAATCACTGGCCACTTTATTAGTTGGACATCAAGAATGCATTTCTTAATGATATTCTAGATGAGTAGGTTTACATGGAGCAACCACCAGGTTTTGTTGCTCAGGGGGAGAATGTGAAGGTGTGTAGACTGAAGAAATTACTTTATGGTCTGAAGCAATTTCCGAGAGCCTGATTTGGACATTTTGTATTGGTTATTCAAGAATTTGGGCTCTGTCATGCACAGAAAAATCACTCTATCTTCTGGCGATTTCAGAATGGGAAACAAATTCTGCTTGTTGTTTATGTGGATGACATTATAATTACAATGGATGATATTTTTGGTATTGACAGTCTGAAGAAGCATTTATGGACATATTTCCAAACTAAAGATCTTGGTTTCCTAAAATACTTCCTAGACATTGAAGTCGCAAAGTCAACGAAGGGTGTTTTTCTATCACAAAGAAAGTACGTCCTGGATATGCTTTTAAAAACTAGGATGTTAGGATGCAGAAGCAGTGATTCTCCAATGGATGTAAACTCAAAACTACTACCAGATCAGAGGGAGCTTCTTAAAGATATTGGACAGTATAGAAGATTGGTGGGGAACTGAATTATCTGACGGTGACCAGACCTGACATCACATTCGCAATCAGTGTTGTGAGTCAGTTCTTGTCCGTACTAAGTACTACTCACTTGGATGCAGTAATGAGAATTTTGATGTATTTAAAGAAGGCTCTAGAACAAGGAATTCTCTACTCACATCAAAGACACATCATAGTTGCAGACTTCTCTGATGTAGATTGGACTGAATGTCCTTTTGATAGGAGATGAACTACTGGATATTGTGTCTTTCTCGGAGAAAATCTAGTGTCATGGAAAAGTAAGAAGTAAAGTGTTGTATCTCGATCTAGTGCAAAATCAGAATACAGAGTTATGACAAATATGACCCTGGAGATGGTTTGGATCAGAGACCTATTGACAGAAATTGGTCTTCCTCCAGAATGTCCCATGGATCTATATGGTGACAATAAAGCAGCAATTCACATTGTTGAGAATCTCGTGTTTCATGAAAGAACCAAGCACGCTGAAGTCGACTGTCATGTAGTCTGCAAGAAGCTCGAGGATAAAATCATCACGGCAAAACATGTATTGACAGTAGATCAGTTGGCAAACATTCTTACAAAACCACTTGGTCAAACACGGGTTGACTTTATTTGTGACAAGTTGGGCATGCATGATACATATGCTCTAGCTTGAGGGGGAGTGTTAGAAGAAGAGAGTATTAGTTTAGTCTCACATTGCTTGTGAGACTAACTTGTAACTAATCCATTTTTATAAATAAAGTATAGAGTGACGGGATAACTCTCCAATAATCTCTTTTCTCTCCAAACTTTAACACAAGAGTTTTGGAGCGTACTTGATATCTTGGTACTTACAAATGCTAATGCTTGAGATGTGCCACCTTGTGATACTGACAAATGATACTACTTCTCTGTTGTTGAGAATAACTGCTGAATTAACTCATTCTCGCACTTGATAATACTCTAAGCATGATGTTGTTTGTCTCTGTAGTTATCCCCTTTCCTATGTGTTGACATATTAGTATTATTAGGGACTTATTTGTAAATTTCGTAGGGGCCTATATTGTTTGCGTCAAAAGTTGACTTTGTTATGGAATTCATTATATCTTCGGTCGATTACAACAAATTCAAAGAAATAGTCTTTTTATAAGACTTCATCGATCTGAAGCTGGATGGACCTAGTACGTACCTGAGCTGGTCACGACGGGTGAGATATACCCTTGCATGGAGGAATATGGAGGGTTATCTGACAGGAGAGGTGACCGAGCCGGAGGAGGACTCAGAGGGAAGAGATGAGTGGAAGTCCACTCATATGTTGGTGTACATATGGCTTCTCAACTCGTTGGTCCCGACGATCGCCGCCACGGTGGATGACATTGAGAAGATGAAGCACGTCTGGGAGAAGTTGAGGAGTACATATGATGGAGTGGGGAATAACCTGAGGGTATTCCAGATTAAAGGAGAGATCGACGCCACAGTCCAGGGAGAGAGGACTGTACAGGAATATGCTACAGAGCCCCCGGGCTAGCTGCAAGGACCCGGGATGTAAAGAGCGGGAGGCCTTTCTACAAGAGAGGACTATGGTGTTTCTTAAAGGATTGACATCAGAGTTCGCTCAGCGAATCGCATTGCTGCTAGCTCAGCCGAAGATTCCCACGCTTGAGGAGGCTGTCTCTGCTATGATCTAGGAGGAGACTCACATTCGGCTGCAGGTGGGGACAGGTGGACTTCCTGTTGTGAAGTCAGCACTGGCAGCCTCTAACAACACTGGATTTAGGGGAGAGACCCGACAGTGTTACAATTGCGGTGCGGTAGGTCATCTAAGGCATGCTTGCACCAAGCCATCCAAGGAAGGAGATTCGGGTGGACGTGGACAGTTCGGAGGTCGTGGTTGTGGCCGTGGGGTCGAAGAGGTGGAAGAGGAGCAGGAAACCGGGCAAATCTGACGGTAGCAGAGGAAGAGGAAGCTGCCGGTGCGTCTTGTCATGTGACAGGTAATGCTAGTGAGTTCTCATCATATACTCACTTAGCATCGCCTGATAGTATTCAAACAGCTGATGGTACATTTCAGCCGGTGGTTGGTAAGGGTACAGTTGATTGTACTGGTTCTGTAACTTTGTCCAATGTTTTGCATGCTCCTTCTTTTCCAGTCAATCTTTTATCTATTAGTTCTATCATCCTCCAACTAAAATGCATCGTCTCTTTTGATATTCCCAAGGTAATCTTCCAGGAGAAGGGGACAGGGCGGAGACTTGGGACTGGCACATGGCGTAGTGGACTGTGGTATCTGGATCGTGAAGGGCTGGATTCAGCATTGGTGTCAGTCATAGAGGAAGCAGGAGTAGGATCTAAAATGAGTGCTGAAAATGAGTTAATGCTCCATCACCAGCGTTTGGGACACTCATCCTTTAGTGTTTTAGGTAGATTGTATCCTTCTTTATTTGAGAAAGCAAATAAACAGAAACTTGTGTGTGATGCATGTGAGTTTGGAAAGCTTACTAGAAGCTCTTATGTTAGTTCTGGTCATAGAAGTTCTCATGCATTTGACCTGGTACATTCAGATGTTTGGGGGCCTTGTTCCACAAGTTCTATGAATGGATACAAATATTTTGTTACATTTATTGATTGCTTCTCTCGTGTTACTTGGTTATACCTGATGAAGAATAAGAGTGATGTGTTTGGGTGCTTCCAAAATTTTCATAAGACTGTTCAGACTCAATACGGAGCAGTGGTGAAAGTATTGAGGTCAGATAATGGGACAGAGTATACCAACAGAGCCCTTGAAGAATATTTGTCAGCTCAAGGAATACATCACCAGACAACCTGTCCATACACACCAGCACAGAATGGGGTAGCGGAAAGGAAGAACATACATCTTTTAGAGGTTGCTAGAAGCATGATGATCTCTATTAATGTCCCAGAGACATTATGGGGACAAGCAGTATTGACCGCAGCAGCGTTGATCAACAGAATGCCCTCGAGAGTGCTGGATTGGAAGTCTCCGTGTGAGATATTGAAAGGAGATAATGGTGGGATCCTTCCACTCAAAGTGTTTGGCTGTGTGTGTTTTGTGAAGGACAACAGGCCGTCTGTCGGGAAGCTTGCCCCTAGAGCTGTGAAGTGTATCTTTGTGGGATATTCTGCTACTTAGAAGGGATATGTTTGCTGGAGCCCGGTGGAAAAAAGGTTGTTTGTGAGCATGGATGTGCACTTTCGAGAACTTGAGCCATATTACACCCAGAAGGTAACTTCATCTGCTGGTAACTCGCCCAATACTAGAAGTATGGGGCGAGAGGAGGAGAATGGTGAGAGACCGGAGAACAATGTGGAGAAATCCATTTCTGTAGTGATTCCTTGGGAGGGAGAGTTGGTTGAGGAGGAGCAGGAGAATCACGAAGAAAAGAAAAATGAGACAAGAGGTGTTAGGCCCACTGTTCAGGGGGAGCTACTAACTTATAGTAGGAAGGGCAAACAAATTGCAGGAGCAGTACCTACAGTGCTACTAGTGCTGCCAAGTCTCTTGCCAACGCCTACCCCGACTCCTGAAATTCCTACACCACCACCAATTTCATCCCAAGGTGATAACATTCCTACTGATAACATTCCTCTCTCTACTTCTCCCACACCAATATCAGTACGGAGGACTACTCGCAGTAATGCGGGACATTCTCCCGATAGATATGGTTGGGATCTTGCCCAGTATGTATCATATTCTAGTATCCACCCTGCATATGGAGCATTCATTGCATCATTGGACTCTGTTACTGTACCTAACAATTGGCAGGTTGCTAAGAAGGACCCAAAATGAAAAGCGGCTATGCACGAGGAGCTAGGAGCTCTAGAGAAGAACCGCACTTGGGAGCTAGTAAAGTTACCAGAAGGAAAGAGAGCAGTTGGATGCAAGTGGGTCTTCACTGTGAAGCAGAATCCAGATGGACAAATTGAGCGCTACAAGGTTCGTCTGGTGGCAAAAGGGTATAGTCAGACATATGACATCGATTATGATGAGACTTTTGCACCGGTGGCGAAGATGAGCACTGTTCGGACCTTAATCTCTCTGGCAGTAAATGGTGGATGGAAGCTACACCAACTAGATGTGAAGAATGCATTTCTTCACGGAGATCTAGTGGAGGAGGTATACATGGAGATACCACCAGGATTTGGTACAGATCAGACAGTGGGAAAGGTCTGCAGATTGAAGAAGTCTCTCTATGGTCTGAAGCAATCTCCCCATGCTTGGTTCGACAGATTCAGAAGGGCTATGATTGGTATGGAATACCAACAGATCAATGCCGACCATACAGTGTTCTTTCGACGGAGTGGAGGCCACATTACTATGCTCGCGGTATATGTGGATGATATGATTATTACAGGAGATGATGAGAAGGAGATTGCCCAACTCAAAGTGAGACTGGGTAAGGACTTTGAGGTGAAAGATCTTGGCTTGCTTAGATACTTTCTTGGAATAGAGATAGCTCGAGGAGCGGAGGGGATCGTCCTATCCCAGAGAAAGTATGCACTGGATCTTCTCAAAGAGACAGGAATGTTAGGGTGCAAACCTGCAACTACACCGATCGACCAGAAGTTCAAGCTAGGTGCTGAGGCTGGAGAACCAGTTGATCATGACAGATATCAGAGGTTGGTGGGAAGGCTGATCTATTTGAGTCACACACGTCCTGATATCTCTTTTGCAGTAAGCGTGGTGAGTCGCTACATGCACGATCCGAGGAAGGGTCATATGGACGCTGTGTACCAGATTCTGAGATATTTAAAGAGTGCCTCCGGAAAGGGGCTGATATTCAGAAAGAATGGACATGTGAACATCGAGGGTTATTGCGACTCAGACTGGGCTAGCTGTGCTGATGACAGGAGGTTCACCTCAGGATACTGCATCTTTATAGGAGGTAACTTAGTCTCGTGGAAGAGCAAGAAGCAGTCAGTGGTGGCGAGATCGACAGCTGAGGCAGTGTATAGAGCTATGGCCTTAGGAGTTGCTGAGTTGCTATGGTTAAAGAGTATGCTGGTGGAG